ACACTGAGGGTAATGGGCAGAAAATTGTTAGTTTGGCTGGTTAGTGTCGGTGCGCTAAAATCCTAGTGTTGTGTTTGAAAGCCACTTTTAATAAACAATCGTGTTTAAATAAATAAATAAATTCAAACTTTTCACAACTGGGTGAAATTTAAACTTTTTCAATAGCAAAATAAATAAATAAATAAATAAAATCAGTTTTTAGACTTTCTCTAAACTGCAATATTTGACAAATCATATAATAGTGTTTACTTGTTAAAATAAAGTGTTTTATTAAAAAATGTTTTTAGTAATTGTCAAAGGTGAGATTTCTGTTTTGCCATTTTTTTAGACAGTCAAACAAATAGATTTTTGCTTCCTATATAAGTTTTAAGTTAGAAAAAAGTTTATGTTCCATTAGGACTTCAGATCTGTGATGTTAGAATCCATTCGTGTGTTGCCAAACTTCCTAAAGCTCTTTTTTTCTTCTTTCTTTAATGCATGTGTCTTTCTCGGAGCCTCTTGGTTTATTGTGGTTATACTGCAGCTGAATGGGTGTGAAGGATCAAAGACCTGCTCGGAGTAATAAAAGCTTACCCTGTGGAGTGCTGAAGTGACCCCCTCCCAAACCTTAAGCTCTTTGTAACTGCAGCTCTCTGCTAATTGTTGTAGACAGGGCCAGAAAACTACCCAACCCCTCCACACGGCAGGGTGGTCAGCTCCCACTCCCACTTACTACCTTAGTACATTTGAGGCAAACAGGGAGGGAAGCCCCCTCCCCCCGGCCCTCTCAAAACACTTTTCTTACTCACAACACCCTTATCTGGAAAATGAAACATTATATATAAAGAAAGAAACTGGTAATGAAAAAATGCTTTCACATACCTCTGCTATTTCAGCACTGAGATTTTATGCGCTCTGTTTTTGGACTGGAGTGGCCATGGACCACATCCTCCCGAACATGTCTGACTGAAGTTACAGCCTAAGATAAACAACATATAAAAAATTGTGTAAAGTTTAATTGAGATTTGAACACACATGTTTTTGCTGTATTTTTTTACTTTTTGCTGCTCTGCCCACCTTTTCTTTGTTTTGACCAGACTTTTAGGTGCTGTCTTCAACTATGTAAAAGAGCATTTATACATCCAAATACGGGTTCCAATTGAGTGAAACTTACAGAATAGTTCAAGGAAAACAGATTTATATGAGCAGATCCACAGTGGTAGAGGTGTTTATTGTGAACATACAAGCTGATTGATTTTTTTTGAAGGTGCCATGCAGCTGAGAAAGCCAGGTATTGCATGCCACACAGGTGATCCGTTGATTTGTAATTAAAATAGCCATGTTTATTATTTCATTTTAGGCATTTTAGTATTTCATAAGATTAATTGTTGCAGGTGTTAGCTTGTTTGAAAAAAGTTTATAGGCAAACTCGCCTGTTTTCTGCATCTAAAAACCCTCTAAAACAAACTCTCATGCAGGAACTTGTCAGAAAAAGTGTGTCAGTCTGTTAGATTTCCATCAACAAAATGAGCACAGATTTATACAAACTACTATGTTAGTGGATTGTTTAAGTTGGGAGCTTTCAGCCAAAACCTCAGTGTTTCTGCATCCTACAGCGACTGATGGGGCTTCACAGCCTCGTGACTGTGTCAGATCAGGATGTTTCACAAAGTTTCTCTTTCACCAGCTCCTGTTGCACCTTTTTACTGAGTTGACATGTTTTGAAAACTAAATGTTTAAATTGTACGTTTTGTACATAATGGGTGAAAAAAAAACTGTGCTGGACTTGTGACTTGTCCAGGTTGTACCCCACTCCTTGCACAGTGACTACTGGATATGAACACCAGTGACCCCTGTGACCCTGAAAGGATGATGGATGGATGGATGGATGGATGGATGGATGGATGGATGGATCACAGCAGTTGATCTGCTGCTAACACCTGGAGAATGTCTCATAACGTCTCCATCACATAAGTGTTCTGTTTTAAGCAAAGAATAAAGTCAACAGTGCAGCATTTCACAAAATAAAGGTGTGGAACCCTGCTGTGAAACATGAAGTGTGGGTTTCTGAGATGATTTCCAAAAATCAAACAAATAAAAAATGAATGCAAATCTAAAATGGATGGATAGAACTTGTATGAAGTATGAAGGTAATTGAGTTGAGTACATGTCAGACAGAAACTGGAGAACACAGAGTTTTCTGTTACTAATGTGTTGATCTCAATAATAAAGTCATTGTGTTTTCTGCCCAAGCTGTTACATTTACCCCCCCCCCCCCCCTTTTTATTTATTTATTTTTTCAAATACTTGTGTAATGACTCTCTAAGCCACAATTCACAATGTGTGCTGTACTGGTTGAAATAGGAAACAAAGAAAATTCATACATAGCCTATGTTATCACAAAAATAGTTTCTGCTTTAAACAGCTAATTGATTTGTAGAACCCACAAGACTTATTTGCTTTTGTAGAGAACTTTTCTAAATCTTATGTTAAATGTTTTTTTTTTCAAAGGGGTTGTTGATACAATTATAGGTTTGTGTAATTAATAGAGTTCAGAGAAAATCTTTTCTCAGTTATCGTCCATGCCAGTCTTAATGGTTTTCTATTAATAATGTAGCCATTTGTCCAAGCGTGGAGGGTAACCAACTTTTAAAATCTGGTTGAGTTGGGCCACTCTCACTCACAGGTGAAGCATTGCAAACTATCATTGCTTGACACAAGCTGCTGAAAACGGGCAGTTGTGTTGTTGTCACACTGTCTCTATATTACTTATACTGTATAGAAATAGCAGAGCAGCATGGGCTTCACACTGGAGCTTTGTTTTAATTAGGGCTGAACAGCAACTGTCACTGTTGGCTTAGTCTCTCTGCCTCTAAAAAAACATCTGGGTATGTTTTGACTTGTCGAGGTTCGACTTGTTTTCTTCAACTGTTTTTCACTCAGCAACTTGTGTACAGTTGGCTTTAATAAGCCTGTGTGTTCAGAAAGCACTCACAGTACCATCATTCAGAACTTTTGGGATTTGATTATGTGAAGCACAACACCAGACTAACAGGAAGAAAGCTGCTGAAAGCTGAAGAGGTCTTGTGAATGTTGAATGCTTTCCTGTAAGATTATTTTTTTATTCATTATGACTCCTTAATAAACAGTAATTCAGTGCTGGCTGATATTACAAAAACATTGTTAAATGTACTTTATTGTGGGGGATGTTAAATAGAACTGTACATGTATTACAAATAATACTTTTTTCAATCCATGTCAGTACGATAACTTCATACAAATTAATGCCTATGGAGTTATGGTACTGACATAGATGTTTAAAGGTGTTCTATGTACGTCTTTTTAACACCTCACTGTCATGTACACAAATAGACTGTATGTCAAGGTTTTTCCTTTTCTTTTTCAAGCATTACTCAGTCTACATGAGCAGTATACTGTAAGCTTGTATAAGGGATACCAGAAAAATATGGTGCCATCGCTCTGCCCAAAGACCGCACAATGTGCTCTGCTGCCAGCACTGCCTCCAGTAATTACAGACCAGAGCTTTAGAGCCTGTTTCTCTCCAGGCTAAACTGAAACTAAAACCCCCATTTCATCCATGGTATTTGGTCGTTTCAGTAAACGAGTACCCCATGTTTAAAAACTGTTATTTCTGGACTGGATCTGTAGTCACTTCTAGTTATCCCTGAACAAAAGAGTAGCTGTACAAGTAGTTGCTTTGAAGACGTTGCAGCTCATTTCTTCATGGATGTTGTCTTTTGTTTTGCATGGTGTCTTAATGTTAGCATTTATTGACACATTTGATCAACCTTCTGTAGAGAAAACCTTTTCATGATCTTGTAAACCTGTAACAGCTTAGTAGATATTGAAATAACTACAGACTATAAAGCAAATTTTTTATTTAGTAATAAAATTAACCCTTTTTGCTTTAAAGGAGGGGTGTTATGTATTATCCAGGCATAGGTCAATTCTATACTACAATAAAATAACCGTTACTTCATTTGTTAGGAAAATGTTGTATATTTTAAAAATTAATTAAATTTTGCATAATAAATGCCTTGAAATTAGCCTCTGTCTTTTTAAGAACTTCCTACTATTTCCGACGCTCCCTCTTCAGCACATCTTCACAATAATTGTTCGGGGGAGGGGTCCTCTGTGGAGTGGGAGCTCCACTGCAGCTTTATGGAGGAGTTTTTCTTTTTTAGTTAGTTTATTCATTTCTTTTAAAAACAACATAAAGTCAACATAATGTACAACAAAAAGTTCAGCTGCAGACTGGGCTTTAGGGAGAACTTTGTGTTAAAATGCAGTGCTTTGCAAGCATTTATGCAGCTCCACATGGCTTCCACAGGAGATTTAAGGATTTCTCAAACATGCATGAATGAGTCAAAGCAACACCCCGGGGGATGTTCTTGATGAGGGAATGACATTTTAACATGATATAAAGCTCAAAAAATCATTTTGCATACCCACCCCCTAATAATTTTACTGAAAAACATCAAATCGGTGTTAACCATATTAAAACCTCCACATGCACACCGACACTAGTGCTCAGGCTTTAATTTAATGTAAAGCTGTTGTTGATTTCTCACATATAAAGACTTTGAGATCTGTAACCTGATGTTCTAATAATGGCAGGGTGGAAGTGGCTGTTGGCTGCTGTAATTGGCTCACAGGGTTGGAGGGTGGTATCTTCTCTAGCTCTGTCATTAGATGTTTGGTGTAGGACAGCAGAGTCTGCTGAACCTTGTGCACTGCAGTCATTAATACGATTAAGTAAAAGGTATTTAAACTGATGGATTTTTTTTTGTTTCTTTTACATGCACCATTTAGATGCACATCCTGTAGCACATTTTGTTAGGATGTCTACTTTATTTGTAGATCTTATCTACCTCCGCACATCTAACACTCATCTAACAGAAACAGTAAAAAGTGATATTTTTTTCTGGTTTGCTGTCAGTAATTCAATGTTAAAAATTAACACTACTATGTCATTTTTTTTCTTTCTCTATTCTCAATAGCCACAATGAGCGGAAGGTGACCTGCAAACATCCGGTCTCAGGCTTACCCTCTCAAGACAACTGCATCTTTGTCGTCAATGAACAGTAAGTCGCTTGTTTATGCTGTTTGAATGCTGCTGGGTAGGATTTTTCAGCTCTATGGTATGTTTCTGAAACTTTCCATATGTTCGGAACATTGTGTGAGTTCTTGCTTTGCCATCTTCAGTATGCAGTTCTGCTTTTTCCACTTGAAGCTTCCTCTCATCGGCTCATTTTTTGTTATCTAACTCCAATCGAATTTTTAAGGAACATGTTATGCTTGTAAACCCAAAGATAATGATGTTTTTTAAATTCTTCTTATGAGTGTCATGTTATTAAATAGATTTTATCTTCTGTTCTTAATATTCTCTACAATTGCCAAGGTAGGATTATTAATATTAGTGTCTAGAGCATGGTTAAAAAAAACTCAATAATAAACAAAAATAATTTACAGTCTAGCATACAGGTCATATTCTCTGTTATTAATGCTAAGGTGTTATCCAGGATTACATGTCAGAGAGAGTTGAAGCCATTTTAAACCTTGTAAATAAATGGCATTATTGACCATCTCATGAGATGTTAGCATTTGGCGTATAAGTAAAAAAATGACTCCTCAACTCTTATAACATCAATTTTTAGCTAAACATCTGTAAAGTTGACTGATTTATTGTGTTTTCAGGTGACTGTGGCAACCATATTGGTTTACATTCATTGATTACTCTCTGATGGTTTTAATACAATCCATCCAGTGGTTCATAAGGTTAACCTGACTATGAATTTTTTTAATCCTGTGAGGAACATTGCGATATGAAGATATACGAGAAGTTTCAACAATTGACTTAAATAACACTGTAGGTATTCTTGCCATCCTGCATCAACCTGCATCAATCTTACCTCTTTTGTGTGAGTTACAAATATATTTTTGTCTGAATTTTTGAGTTATTCTTGTTATTTTTTTATTGTGCTAGGGTTTGAGTTTGTTTCTTTTTTATCATGTGCAAACATAAATTGCATTTTACCAATAAACAAACCTAAAGTGTAGCCTCTGTGTCTCTTAGTTTCTGTTTTCGTCATGCTTTCAGCATTCATGCTAAACTGTGTTTTACCATTTCCCTCCTCGTTTTTGTAAAGACCCTCATCGTCTTCTTCCACAGCTTGAGAATTCACCAACAACAGTTCCCCTAAAAACGCTGTAAAAATAAAAGCCGTTTACTGACTTATGGTTTACACATTGATTTAATTTGCCTCCTACGTCGCAGGACCTGCACTGTGACTATTGCGCACACGTGCATCCCCATGACGATGCTCAAATGATATATCGTGCAGCCCTAGTTTCATCTCTTATTTGTTCTTTTTGTTTGTTTGTTCATCCACATTGCCTGAGCCTTTAGCACATATTTGCACATAACCGGGTCAAAGTACTAGGTGTCTTTCAGCTGAAATGAAAACAAAAAATCAGACCAAACATTTATGTGTCGAGCTCAGAATTACAGACATTCCTATTTGCTGATTTACTCATAATTAACCTTTTAACCTAGCAGGCAATGTCAGTTTAATACATGCCTGTCATAGAAAACAAAACAAAACAAAAAAAACCCAACCTGATAATTTGCAGCCTCCAACTCAGATTTCTCAGTCTCAGTTTGTTGGCATCCTAACTGTACACATACTGAATTGTTTGCATCACATCCCACACTCTGCCAATAAAGTCAGCTTTAATGCTTCATTCCAGCATCTCAGCTTCATGTTGTGCAACATGCCTGAGCTTTAATCGCTTTCTTAATCACCTCAGAAGTCTCTGTCTCAGTTCATCTTCCACAATCTTGAATCATTGCACAAAAGTCATGCCATTACATTTTATCACACATAGCTTTGTTAATTAGTTAACTTGAAAAATATGTTGCTTCGAGATACAAAAATCATTCTTGTATTAGAAATTGTGGCAAACTTGTGGAGGGTTTTTTCTCCGTTGTGGGTTTTCTTTCTTGTGCGGTTTCAAAATCAAAATTCTTATTGATCTAAAACACACTGTGAACTTTTGGACTTATTGTCTCTGTAATTCACTAAGCAGCATTTTCTTTAGAAGGTATTTAACAATCAAAAGACGGTACAAGAGAAGCTTGTCGAAACTGAACCGTCACACTACACTTTCTTGACACATTCCTCCTGCCTGTGCTGCTCTCACATCTCTGCTGTTTTTCACACTAGGAAGAACAACACACCAGTGCAAGATGATATCTAATTTAGAATCTGGAAGATTTTCTCTCATATAATCTATATGTGGTATGCATAAGAGATGCATTAGAGTTCAAGTATTTTTAGGTATTGCAGGATCTATGTTTTAGCTAGAATAAAAAAAAGAGGAAGCTGTTCGGGGAAAATCCTCATCTTGGATGAGTAATAAAAGGCAAAGACAAATTAAGATGCCACAAGGTTAAGGAGGCCTGAATGAAAATCTCTCTTTAATCGGCTCTACTCTTTAAAGACATCTAAAACACAGATCTTTGCCTCAGTTTGCTTTTGGAATTCTAACCTTCGCTCCTGAACAGCATAGAGAACAGTCACTCAGACCACCTTAAGATAACTACAGTTCAGCCTATTTTTTACAAAGCTATAGAGATACAAAGAAGTGTGAAGATTTCAGATCAGGTCATAGATTAGTTTTAAGATAACAGATTTAAAAAGTAATTTACTTTTAGTCCAAGTCAAAGAAACAACAAGGAAGTGATTTCTGAGACTTCTCTGACCATTTAAAATCATATGTGTCACTTCAATGTTCCGTTTTTTGGCATTTGGAGACTTTAGGTTGTGTAACTAACAGCGTAAAGAAAATCTTTCCGTTGTGTTGTTATTGTAAACCTCTTTTTCTGTAGTTCATTCATTGACCATGAAAAGGGGACATAACTTACCATATTTATTCAAGTATAATACGTAAAATTAAATCCATAAAATCATCCATAAAGTTGGGGGCTAGTACTATACTCGGATAAATATTTTTACTTATGTATTTTAACTGAAGTATCGGCTTCATTCACAAAATGCCTGAGTCTGGAAATTAGACCACGTCGTAAAAAGTATTTGAAGCAAACGTACCTCTGACACTCCTCCGTGCTTCAGAGTGAGATAATAACAGATCCAGACATGATGTGAAAAAAAAAGGGGGGGGGGGGGGTAAAAGCAGTCCAGCACCTTAGTAATAATTGCGAACTAATGACATTAGCGTGTGACTGGGCCGCTCCTCGAACAATAGCAGACACATGTTCTTCTGTAATGGCTGCCATCTACTGGTGTTCTGAAAAAGTTTGTATCCCTGAAAAAACCTTTCCCAACCAGAGGGGGCGCTCACGAGTAGGAAGTAATCTGCTTTTGCCCCACAAGATGGTCCAAATCTCATGTGAAGTCTCTGACTTTTGTGTTGGCGTATCCTGGTAGACTATGTGTAAAATGCCAGAATTCATATGATGCTGCTACAGCTGATACAGTATATATTTGTTGTCAAAATACCTTTTAGTACATATGTTGTTAAAATAAAAAGAACAGTCCAATGATCACTTTACTGATATGTATAAAGAGTGCAAAGGCTGAAAAATCTTGAAGTCTGTATGAAATTGGAGGTAGTTTGAGGATTAATTTTTTTATGCTTTTTAAGCTCAAAAAAGGGAGGGTCGTATTATACATGAGATCATATTGTACACGAATAAATACGGTACATACTGCATACGGTATTGTTACTTAGAAGTATGCTGTTATGATCTGTAGCACAGAACATTTGTGGCATGTGACCACTCTGGAATGCTAGTCTCAGCACTCTGCTGTTGTGTCTGAATCTTTCTTTAGATGGCCACATGAGCATCTGCAAGACAACAGGCATTATCTATGTAATGCAGGTGTAAAACCTGTTCACTCAAACATAATTTCATATGCCACTTCAATTCAGGTATCAAATATGACATTATATCCTGCAAATACTGTAAGTTAACAGTTTAAGCGTTTATTATTATTTAGTATTTATTGTTTTGTATGCAGTGTTTCCCCAATGTTTCTGGGAGTGGCGGATCAACATTGAATTTATTACCAGCAATTAGCATGTGGACATGCTACCAGTTGCATCTATGTGTATGTGTAAATGTGTGTGTGCGAGTGCATATTCCCTACTATATAGGGACCATTTTTTGCATACACCCCTACTTGTGGTGACCAACATTATAGAGAAAATAAGGGGGAAATGGCTATGTTGGAGTAGAGGCAATTTATACGTTCATTTGTGTAGTTATATGTTACCATTTTTGCATGATGTTGATTTAATGTGTAGGGATGTTTTATTGGGTCTACATTCCACTAGAGTGGGCACACATCCATTTTTTCTTCTAGTATCAAGGGTAATAAAGTATTAATGTTGCCAGAAATACCTCTGTTTAAAGTTTACTTAAGTCCATTCCTTTATTTTGTAAAATTTCAAGTCACTTTCAACCCAAATGACACCTAAAACAGATATTAGCTTTTAATCCACATTTTTCTTGTGTTGTTGCTGACTGTTGATATGAATTTGCTAATGGACTTCCATTCTGCTATCTACATGCTAATGTTTTCAAAATCCTCTTCATTATGGGAAATAACAACCTCCAAATTTGCAGCGTACACCCTGAAAATTGCTAATTTAGCTGATTTTTCTTTTAGCTTATTGTAGTGAGCAACTCTTTAGTTTCACACATGACTGCAACATTTACTTTTCCATTAGCAGAATTGTTCTTGTATTCCTGCTTCACCAAGTTCACCTCAACACTTAATTTTCACAGATTTCCGCATATTGAAATTCATAAACACTGTTCATACTAGTCTGCAGCAGCATATTAAAATCAGCCTATCAGACTTGAAAAATTTTATATTCTTTTGATTTCAGTACCTAAAACAGAGAAACGGATGATGCACAACCCCTCCTAAAAAAGCTTTCATTTGCACTATTTTCCTTCTCTCCTAAACAAATCTTTCTCTTGTTTTGTAGTGTAAATTGCAGAAAATTATGTCGTCCCGCTTTTAGCAGGTAATTAACTTGTAGGTGCAAGCGGATAATTGTGTTGTCCGCATCTGTTTTGCTGTGAAACTCTTGAACCTTTCTATGTCTAAAAACCATTGTCCTGCACGCTAACAACTGACTGTGGGTGTTTTGGATTGGTGATTTGCCTGATGCCCTGTGATGCATTTACACTACAGAGTCCTGTAAGGTTCATTTTATTGTCTGAACCATTTATTTTGTGTTCATCCAAACCTCGTTGAACAACTCGTCACAGGGAGAACATTACTTACTTGATGGCGAGCACATCTTTAGCGTCAAAAGTTTTGGGCCCAGTTTGTATGCAGTTTACTGACTTCCCTATAATAAAGCAAAGTTGCTCTCCCGTTTGATGGAGTTAAACTAACCGTTGCTTTCAAATATGATTTAACAGATCAGAGATGTGATTGTTGAGCTGCTGTGGTGCACAAAGTATTCTTTTTGTTTTGACAAACTGAGTGAAGACTTGATTTGTGAGTTCCCTTTAATCTTCTCTTCTTAATGGATGTTCAGGCGACACTGGTCTCATTTAAAGTCTGCTTTTATGTTATAACAAAGTCAGATGACTGAAATGTCAGTTTCAAGAACAGTTAGTTATATTTTTGTTGTTGGTGCAAGTTTTTGGTTTCATGTGCAGCTCTGTACTAAACCCTGAATCTTTGACACCATGACACCTGCACACTTACATAACCAGCATGTGCTAGCCTTGTTGGTTGTTGTTTGTTCATTAAAGAGATAAAGGTTCAGTTTGGAAACACACAAATGTTCTTTACAGCACACTTACCTCTTCAGAAATGCTGTGAGGTCATTTTAAAACGCACTCACAGCCACTCATTTCACAGTTTCCCCCCAGAGAGCTCAGAGTGCTTGCCTTCAGTGAAAGTGTAATCCCTCCTCACTATTTCTGCACAAACAAATACACACATGCACACACAATCCATGCAGGACCAGGCAAAGATATTACACTTTGATACTTGAGGGCATTTGTTTGGCACGAGAACTTAGTTTGCTCTTGCCTTTGTAGGGCTGCTTAGATTGTGTAACTTGAAAAACTTGAGTTTATTTGAAATGTATACCTGTCCCAAAAACAAGAAACTTTTAAATATTTAAATTTATATTGTAAGTTACTTGCATTTATTCATATTTTAGAGTATTTATCTTGTTTGGGTGTTTTTTTTTTTTTTTTAAGGAAGCAAAACTCCAGTTGAATCATAATGGTACACGCTGTTTGAGCAAACACACATCGTAAAAATGCTGCTTGACTGTTTTAAAAATAAGATCAAAATAATTACAAATTATTAGTAAAAACTGTAACAACTATTCATTGACATCTCCAACTAATTTCAAGGAATTAAAAAGTAGAATAGTCTAAAATATGTTGTCAACTTTAAAGCAAACGGTCAGGGTTTATTTTTTTAATTACTGTATTTCCAGTTCTAAACAAGCAGTTTCTTAATAGAAAACATGACATGACCCTTTCAGCTTCAGTTTAAGGACCACTGACTGCTCTTGACACAGAGCAGTGGTAAACAAAAACAAAGATGTATGTTGCTTAGTGTATTCTGCTACAGCTCATGACTATTTCCACTCTGGGCTCCATCGAAAACCAGAAAACACTGATTTAATGCAGGCACACAGCATGTGGATGATATAAATAATAGTTTAATACATGCTAAGAGTCATGCAAATGTTTTATGAGAGGTCTGTCAGAGCTCAGTTTTATTAGTTTGAGCTGTTGTGTATTTTAGTGTTTCATTTTTATCATTGCGAGTAGTTTAAATATAGACTTAGCAGTGTATCAAAAATTAAATGAAATTTTCTGATTTCACTTAGATAAATGTAGTTACGTTATTTGTAACTAGTCTGTGCGATCACAAAGCAGTTTTGTTTAGTTAGCTTTTTTTAAATAAGATGTTTTGAAAGGAGAATAAGAGCAAGCTAGGAAATGTAAGTCAAAACATGAAAACATGTCCTGAAACACAAATATAGAAATATATTAAAATTCCTTTCAACATGGTGCTTCACAAGGGCAATTTTAAAGCATTTTAACTCAGAAAATTCTGGTTTCAAATTCAGTGCTGAGTTTATTTTCTTTCTTTTTTATGACATTAAACTGATTTACAGTCAAAATAAAAACTAGATTAATGTAACTGTTTAATACAATGGCTGTTGTGTTATCTAATTTTCTAAATTTTGTACCAGCCTGAATATTCTGTATCTTGGAGTTTTTGATTGTTGGCCAGGAAACGAAACATTATTAAACTCCTGCATAATTTGTATTCTGTTAATATTATATCTTCCTCGTCTGTGAATCTGTTGAACATAACTCGTTTCCACAGGCACATTGTTTTGGCTTACAGCCATTAAACAGGATAAAGTTTCTATTGAATTTTATGTTCAAATTTATGTTCTTTATATAGGTTTTGATGGTTTGATGTTTAAAATTGCCTATGAGAATTGAGTTGCACAAAAATTGATCAGCCTGCAAGTTCAAACAGCAAAACCACCAATTTGACACACTTGCTTCTTTGCAGTTTCACTGCATGCAGATTGATTTTGTGGTCCAAAGTAATTATATGCAGCTCACAACCGAGATGCAGTCTGGTGCCAAATAGAGCATCAAATAAAGCTGAAGTCTCCTACGACAGTAGCCAGTTAGATCCCTGGCCCTTTTCCTGACAGAATCTTTTTATTTTTTATGTCCAGTTCACATGCCTTTGATTACGGTTCAGTTTGTTTCGCCTGTCACACAAGTGTTGAAACGATTTCAAGCTCATTTACCGCAGTGAGCTCATCAGATGGGGGGAAAAAAATCAGGTTTCAGAGGCTACTCATCTCTTTACAAACACCCAATTTTAGAGCAGTGATTGAAAATAATGTGCATTTTATCTTCAGAAAGCATTAGTCACTAAACTGTCCAACCTATGACTTCTCTGATTATGTTGCCAGATGTCTTCTCTGCACACAACCCCATAAAATACGTATTCATGAACACAGACTTTTAAAATATCCTCTCAGTAGGTACTGATTGTAATAAATTAATAAAAAATACATGTTTTAAACTATGTAATGTAAAGTCAGCTTGAGCTTGTCATTGTTTTGTGTCTTGTCTGCTGCCAGTATCAGTCCTCTCACTTGTGTTGCATGACAGCAAATATCCTCTGTGCGTTACCTGCTCCAGGGATCAAAGCTAGTGTTGCTCATTGTGATGCCTCTTGTCTTTGTGCACTTTAAATGTAACCGCATGGAGTCTGGTTTAAACTACATTTACTGATAATCAGAATTTACTTATGCTGATACTTGCAGTTTTGTGTGCATGTTTTACAAAAGGGTCAACAGGAAAAGATAGTGAATAAAGACTTACTGAAATTAAATTTTTAGTCTTCATTAATTTGTTCAAATGGGAGAGTTTGCAGTACAGGGTTGGCTACTTTTTTCCAGTGCAGTTTGAGAGGTGAGAATATTTTCACTGTTGCAGTCTTTCTGTTCCTGTCTGGTTGCCATGTCTTTTTTTCCTCTGCAGAACATCTCTACTGGTAATTTCTCAAGGTCTACTTGCTTAAGGCAAAAAGTATTGAACTTTTTCTTATGTGTACTTCATTCTTTTTTAACCTTCAGTTCAGAATGTCAGCTTTGATGTCCGTAGAGTACAAATCTACTAAAAACTGGAAAAGAATCTGCACTGACAAATTTTGATTTAAAAGCCTATGTTGAGTTCTCATTACACTTAGAGCTTTAACTTTCCTATGTTTCCTATGTTCTTAAATGGGTTTGAAACAACAAGGGAGTTGTCACTGATGGTCTGCTGTTGTGCCTCTGGCTTGCTTTGTGTCTATTGTTTAGATCTGCCTCCAAAGTGCCAGTGAATGAGAAGAAGGAACGACCGCTAAGCACCATGAGCGAGGCCTCCAACCACACGGCAGCCACCTCTGACTGCACTGCAAACCCCAACAGCCCGGCAGGAAGAGTGAGTGACACAAGCAAGCATGGCATTAACATGCATCCCTGTTAGAAAGCGGGGGGGGGGGGGGGATCATGTTTAAATTGTTCAAAAAGCTTGTGCAAAGACTAGAAAGAATCATTTTCAATCATCTTACACATTCGTACCTCTTTTCCCCTGTTAGCCCTCAAGGCCCTCCAAGAAAATTCATAATTTTGGAAAGCGATCAAACTCCATCAGGAGGAATCCCAATGCTCCTGTGATGAAAAGAAACTGGCTTTACAAACAGGTAAGAAAACCCCTTTAAATAATTTTAACTTAAAACAATGGAGGTTTTATGATGTCACATTAAGATGAGCTAACTAATTTGATTAAATGCCACAAGCATTAATAGTTATTAAAAAATGCATGTCATTAATTGTAATTATTGCTGGTTTGTCACATGAGGTCACAAATCAGGACATATTTTTATTTACGCTATTTCTTCATGACTATAGTACTTACTGTGATTTGTGTTAAGTTCTATTGGCAGATGGAAGCAATAAACAACTATTTAAACAGTATGGTGGCATCATTCCTGTTAGCTTCTCAGCATGGTGATTTCAATATCTATTCAAATTTCTGCTATTTTAATGAGCCACTTATCTCTTTATACTGTCATGTTGAAGTAAGAGGAGCTTATTTAAAATCTGCCCAATAAAAAAATGTTACAGAAAAGATGTAGAAGTAGCACATTGTTGAGTGAGTTTTTCTAATATTTAAGTAACAATGCAAGACGAGTACAAAAAGATATATTTCTGATTCTTTGCACCGTCTGAACATGGCTTTGTTTGGAGTTCCTGCACAGCCAGCAGTGTTTAAATACACAGCACCTGGGTTACTTGCTGCAAGGAGAGAAAAGTGGTGCTTGAAACAGCCCTTGGCCAGACTGTACTATTCTCATGCTTCCCAACAAGAAGACTCAATTAGTTCTGATTGCAGGGCTCCCAGTGCAGCCTGTGAACACGTGATTGTTTCCTTTGCTGCAGCTGCCAGCTGCTTTTCTTTGGAGACCTTAATCTGGCTGGTGTAGATCAAGCAAAAGACTCACAAATCTGCTACCCTGAATAAAAGCTGGATTTGCACTTTTCTTTTTCTGCCTCATTGAGACCTGGAAGCCATTGAAGTCCTTGGCTGAGTGAAAGCTGAAGCCCTGCAGCAGATCCACTGGGAAATCAACACGCCACCGTGATCGATGTGTTGGTGAAAGCCTCCTAAGAACAAGATCTAACAGAAGTTTTGACAAAGTTTCCTCATGAGCACATTATAAAATTGATGCTGAAGACCTTGATAGCTTTTAGAGTAGGTGGTCAGGATGTTCGAATTTAGCAGTTTTCAGCTCTGCCTCCTTGAAGCACACAAGAGCAACATCTGCATTTTCTTTCCTTTTTATATTAATATGTAAAACATTCTGGGTGGCGCAAGCAAATTTCCATTTAAACCAAGCTGCAGCCCACATGCTGTCTGACCATAATAACAGAGTTGCTGAGGTCCTGCCTCCTACTTTACTCTCCAGATAAAATCTATGCTGAAGGACTCTGCTCAAGTTTTCCATTAAGGTTAACAGGAGGGCTAATATTCATTACTTTTCAGGCTGCAGACTAAAAAAAGCACTTTGATGTTAAAGAGCAAGTTAAACAAAAAATATATTTATTGTATTCCGTTAACCCTGAAACAAACTTTTTTTTCTCTCAAAAATAAATTATAGTTTGGGACAACTTGGCATTGGCCGGTTACCAGTTTAAAGTTGTGCCCTTGTGTTCAAAAGTCACAGTGTCAAAACCACTAAATGTTTCCATCATACCATTCCTACATTTTAAACACCTGAAAACAAGATAAAAAAGACAAACATAAACTTTTATTTCCCATCTCTGTTACCAGACCTGGAGTTGAGCTGTCATTTTTACAGTGGTTGAGGGGGGGATTCTCCTAAACATTAATTCTTATTAATAAAGACATTGCTGGACAGTTGTTCTTATTGTCCATCTGATAACCCACACAGTCCTGGTTTTTCTATCAGAGGAGCAACACTCATGTTTCTTTTTCAAGGTTTGAAATAAATGTTTGCAACAAACTGCACGCGTTAGCATGTTAGCAGGTGAAATATATGGTGGACTTCCTGCTTGCTGCAAAGGCTAATGATCCAGCTAATTAACTAACATTAACTTATCAGGCTCTCTAGTTACTCTGCAAAGAGCAGATCAGAAGAGAAGTAATATTCTGCACAATAGACACAATTATCTACGAATGTTAAATAAATTGTTCTGATGCTGTTTAGTTTGTCATCTTGTGAAGGAATACAAGCATTTTAAAACTATTTCTCTTCAAGGGAATCACTTCATTTTTAAAGGGTGTATCATTATAGTTGGCCAAACATAAAACAGTCTCTAAAGGGAAAAATTCAGCTCCTCAGGAAACGGCACACAGTATTTATGGGACCAATAGCCTCTAGAGTCATTAAACAATTTGCTTATGGTTAATGTCCTCTACAATCTGTTTAAAAATACAGTTTTTAAACTGCCTGCTGAGTCTTTGGCATTGAAGGTAAAAAATAATTTCAATGCTTGTAATTAGAAAAAACTTCCATGATCTTAAATGTCATTCTAAATAAAAATACTGGAAAGAAAAAAATCTGTTTACAAAGTTGGTTTTAAATCCACCCGGAGTTCAGGCCAAAGCTAACTCACTGGTTTTAATTAGCTGTCAACAAGTTCACTTGAAATCATTTATGTCTGAAATAATGAATAAATGAAATAACTAAAACCAAATATTATGTTAATACTAATATGCATTTACACACTATATGATATTATTTATGCAGCAAATGTTTCTTTCTTTAAATAAAAGCTAATCTTGTTTTGATGTTTTTGTTTATTATTGAAAAATATGTTTTTTTAGCTTAAGGTTATCATACCACCAGAATATTGGCTCATACCGGCCTGTGCATAGAGTTATCTCGGGAATTAGCATAATCTGAGTGTCGAAACATTTTAAGTGTAAAAATTATGACTTATAAAGTTTTTTGTTTTTATTATTTTTTTATTTGTAAAACTTATAGTTTTTTGTGTTTTGTAGAAAGCACTCCGTTTAGAAAAATGTGGCTAAAATAAAAGAAATGTAAAAATATAAAATTAAAACAGTTGATTGGCCGCTATTTATTATCAAAACAAAGCTAGAATTTTAAGTTTTCCTGAATATTTTGAGGGCTAAAATTATTCTGCAGTAAAGGTGGTCATTTCTCTGGAAGAACGACTCCACGGTTCGTGAAGTAAAGGTTTTCTGTTTATCTGGTGCGTTTACAGGACAGTACAGGCATGAAGTTGTGGAAAAAGAGGTGGTTTGTCCTTTCTGATCTGTGCCTCTTCTACTATAGAGGTAAGTACACACAATTAACACATCAGTGGTTTTCACTTCTTATTTTAAGTACCATGGTGACAGTCAGCCCTCATGTCAAGGGCTGTGCTAATTTCTGATACATCCATGTTTCTATTAAAAAACAACCTTTCACAACCAACTGAAAAACATATCAAGCTTGAGGGTTTTACAGAAATGGAAACATGCATGTTTAAGTTCTGAATACAGCTGAAATAAACTGACTTTATGTAGATAATATTAAAGTGTTTATACAAATTTTGAGAATTGTAATGTTTTTGACAAAAAAACTTTTTATACTATCGACAGAATCTTAATTTTGACTGAAGCGTAAATGATAAAATGAGCTTAAGTTTCTTTAGTAATTAGATTGATTTCAAAATATTTGCAAATGTATTTTAAAGGTTTTCCTTGCAGTTATTAAAGTCTGATTCACCCTTAAGCTCCCTCCGTGGTGCTGTTTTACAGCAGGAACATCTTTAATGTCAATGTTTATTTTTAAGTAACCTGCCTCTCACTGCGATGCTATAGATCTCACCTGATTCAAGTCTACATGTCAGGGCACAGGATTGATGTGGGTGTAGGCATCATTTGTGCTGAGCAGAATGACATCGAAGCTGTGTTTTTCCTAGCATCCTGCCGCTCCTGACACATTCTTTCTGCCCGCTGGCTGACAAAAGGCCACAGACAGAAGCAGATTTAAGGGCTTTAGCCAGATGAACGTGTTCTGCTGTGATGTTCATCGGTAAAAAGCTTCCAGTGAGGTCATCAACTTTGCTGCCTCAACTAAATACAGCCATTATCTGCTGGAGTGATCAGGTTATTATTGTTCACACAGGATGTCCAGCATTGCTGCTTACACTCGGAAAATGCTCTGCACACACCTCTATGGTTGTGTATTACTTTGACAGACGTATCACACAAGTAGACTGAGTGTCCCTACCTTCACTCCCTGGGAACTGAAGCCTGTAGGAAGAAATTTACAGGAACTGCTGTGTAGTATTTTTGGAACCAGCATCTGTGCACTAACAATGTGGGGCTTTAAGTCACGCCTACTTCTCCACCCACAATCATGATGTCATGTGACCTTTCTTGTAAGCATGTAATAGCTCAAATACATATTAGAAAAGTGAATATTCAAATATACAGCAGCAAGGTAAGAATTACATGGCTCAACAAGACTCAACCCCTAGAAATGTTACAGTGTTCTGTTCATTTGCATGGAGGGGGCGGGGCTTAAAGGGGACATACAATACAAAATCCTTTTTTTCCCCTGTTACACACATTTTTGTTGTGTACTTGGGGTCTCTAGGAGTGCAGAAATTTTTAATTTAGTCTTTCCTGGTGCTGCGTAGATATTGACTTTTTCAACCTGTTAGTTGGTTTCTGAACTGTTATGTCAAATGATTTGCAACATAACTTCTAAATAAGGTCTGAACTAACATTAATTTGTTTCATTTTCCTCTCGCTTGGGGTTAGACTCTGGCTCCAGCATGTAAAGGCTGGTTTATACTTCGAGTTGCACGTCCCCCTTCTGAGTGACAAAAAAGTCAGAACAATGCAGACCTTGCAGCTTGGAGCGTGTTTTTGGTTAGAACTTGGTGGGTGTGTCTGTTCATGAGGAACACTGCAGTGGTCCAGCTCTGCCTTCTGCATGTCATGTTGTTTAAAATGATTTCTTTTACTGAAGCCAGTTGTTAAAAGAGCTAGAAGAGCAGCTGGTTTGATCCTACTGAACGTGAGCATGCAGCTGATTTTTACGTCTTTTTTTTTCATCACCACCTTTAAAAAAAAAAAGAAAAAAGTTTTTCCTTCACGGACTTTTAACTCAACAAAACACTGATCATTAATTGATAAAAATAACACAATATCCAGGGGCGGTACGGTGGCTCAGTTGGTAGAGCTGATGCCTCTCAGCAAGATGGTCACCGGTTCAAATCCTGGTCCGGGGACCTTTCTGGGTAGAGTTTGCATGTTCTCTCCGTGCATGCGTGGGTTCTCTCCGGGCACTCCAGCTTCCTTCCACAGACCAAAAACATGACTGTTAGGTTAATTGATAACTCTAAATTGTCCCTAGGTGTGAGTGAGAGAGTGAATGGTTGTTTGTCTCTATGTGTGGCCCTGTGATGGACTTGCGACCTGTCCAGGGTGTACCCCACCCCTCACACTGTGACTGCTGGATATGGGCACCAGTGACCCACACAACCCTGAAAAGGAAGAAGCGTGTACAGAAAATGGATGGATGGATGGAACACAATATCCAGCCATCATTGTTACTGTTTATCTACTTAAATGAGCTTTGGGGGGCAGAGGGAGGATCTATGATAATTTATGGACCACCGCATCTTCAGCCTGTTTATACTTGCTCAGGAAAAAGACATCCAAAATGATGCAATCACCAACCCGCTGTCTCACATATTGAAGTATAATCCAACCTTAAGACTGGATGGACAAGTCTTCCCTTATTGACATCTTTTACTTGATTTGTAAATTAAACGTTTCTGTGACACTATATAGTTGTATCTGCTATTGAACTAGAATGGATTGCTCTGGAAGCTGAAGGGGGGCGGGGTGTGAAGCGCCTTGTTTGGATCTAAAGAGACAGCATCAAAACGAGTTGATTGAGACACACCTCAGAAAAGGGGTTAAAGAGGGTTTTGTGGAGATACAATAAGGAAGAAGTCAGACTGATTCATTGCAGTTCCACTTTATACAGACCTCAACTGAATGATTTAAATGAGAAAAAGAAAGATTTAAAAGCATGATATGTTTACTTTAAAACATGTTCTGGAACAAGCCAACGAGGGAGCTGATCCCTCTTCAGCTTCAGCTTCTGGGTTCCAGTCGGAGGACCACCTTTTTTACAGTCTATACCAAGCCTTAACATTTGCAAACTAATTAAACGCATTTTAAACAAAATAGAAGTAATGTCCTAAAATACTCGACTTATGAAACCAGCCTCAAACACTTGGTTCATTTACTTTTTCTTTCCTCTAGATGAAAAAGAGGAAGGTGTACTTGGCAGCATTCTCCTACCAAGCTTTCAAATATCCATGTTGTCTGTGGATGATCACATTAACAGAAAATATGCTTTCAAGGTTTGTATATTTTCATACCTTTTAAACTTTGTTAGTCTTCATATTTTATGTGTTAATACACTTACAGTAATAAGACCTAACAATAGCTTTTGTAGGGAAAAATAAAGCGCTCAAAATAATATTTAGATTTTTTTTACTGTTTAGCTCAGTGTTTTATTAGGGATATGAATCAAAGTTTACAAGCTTGAAAAATGTGTTACTGAAACTTTAAAGCTAGTTTTTATCAGATTAAAAATAAGTTGTTGTTTTTTTTCTTATTGATGCAAGGAGAATGGAGCATGTCTTTTACAGGCTGCTGGCAGGAGTGCAGTCCTATGACACCATGATACTGTCAGAAACCCTGAGTTTGATGAAAAGAACATATTTCATGAAATCTCAACAGTGGATATAGAACTGCTGCATTTTTCATAAACCCTTAGAGACAACAGAGTTGCCCTGCCAAATCCAGCTAAACACAGACGCTCAGGAGTCCGTTCAAGGTCTTTGTAACCACACAGCCCACTCCTTTTCCAACTTAGATTCAGGCAGAGCGTTTAGTGAAACAAGGAAACCACAGTTCAGAGCACAGACTCTTCAGTTAAACTCAGAAATCGGATGACTTTTTGACTCTTTTTTTATTTTTATTTTTTCATTTTACCTTTTTTGTGTCACCAAATGGTTGTGACCTTTTTCTAGACAATATAAAGTGAATTAAAGAAATGACAAGGCTTTTCTTGTTTCATAGACATCGGTAAACGGGCTGTTTAGATTGGTCACTAAACATTCTGTCTCTCTTTCTGTCTGCATCTGCCTCTGACAATATATTGGTTTGTTTACCACGAGGGAATGAAGAAAGCAGACAATGTTTCATCCATACAATGCACTGCATGGTAAGTCTTAGAGTTGTTTCAGGCAGATTTACTGCCTTAATCTGATGATATGCATGAAACTTAAGTGACTCAAGGATTTGATTTGTCTGTACGGCACAGATGGCCTCATCCAGGAACATTTTACAAATCAGCTCAGCTCAACTTGTTTTACAAAAGCATTAAAGTCATAGTCACAATTAGCTGGATAGCAAACAATTCACCAGTCTAATATGAAGTTCTGACATTATTTTCCTTTCTGTATTCCAGGTAAACTTTGTGCATCACTCTTCCTGTCCATTCCCGTCCATCAGGCAACGCATCCCAACATGAGGACATACTATTTTTGCACGGACACAGCCAAAGAGATGGAGTCTTGGATGAAAGTAATGACAGATGCTGCACTTGTGCATTCAGAGCCAGTCAAAAGGTTTGTAAGAGCTTCACTAATACGCTTCCCCCTCCCTTTTATTATTTTTTTAGAGTAGTTTGTGTCACTTTTGAATAGAGGAGGAGAGGGGAAAAAAAGACATTTGAAAAGGCACTGGGGATGGTTTTTAAAACGAACACTAATGACTCTGCATTCTTCAGTTCGCTTCTCCACTCTGATATTTCTTCTCTCTTTTTTTTTTAATTTGTGCAAGAAGCAAGTACTTTTAAATCCCTCCGTTAAGCCTGTTAAGGTCTTTGGCAGCAGCTCGATGCAAAGTCTTGTCATTTCTGGTCTTTTGGGCTTGTTTAAAAAACTGCAACTGTCTTTAAATGTTGTGCAACTGATTTAGTATTGTGGTTTATTGCAAAGCAACAAATACTTAAAAAAGCACCACATTCATATGGGCATGTTGGTACCATCAGTGCATGCTGCAAGTTGTTGAGGGGGATGTACAGCTGCAATGGCTGATCATACTCACCAACATACCAGTTCAGGTTTTTTTAATGTTTGTCATTTGGCCACCAGCCCATCTAAGGCCCATGTTTTACATGGGTGAGCAGAGGAATAATTGTAAGAAGCTGCGTTACACAGAGCAGTGGTGCCTGGAATCCACTCAATACTTCTGCAAAAATGAGACTGTGTGATGCAGCTGTAAGTTTTCTGTTATATTGTTTTTATGTTTTATAGCAGCTTTTTATTTCACCTCACACTTGTTTTGTGTCCACATTCTTCCCCAAAACACAGAAAGCTGGAGAAGACATTATGTGACCAGTGGTGCATGGTTTGAAACTATACAAGTGGAAAGTCTGAAGAATGTCTTTTGAGCCTTTGTGTTGTTGACCAAGTGATTCATGCCACTGAGGGAAACTGGATCAACTTTGAAGTGCTGGCCTTAGTCTAGTCTACAGCCAAAAAATAGTGGTGCCTGTTACCTCTGAATACGTCCCCAGGGACCATAGGGTGGTAGATTGGAGTTACAAATGGATTTGGGGTCTGAGCACCATCTTTCAGCTGGGCCTCGACAGAGGAAGTGTTTTATTGGCGATATCTGATTTCCTTTTCACGTCTGGCCTTCTTCGACAGCAATTTACTTTGCACTTCTGGCTTAGCTTAAAGCAAAAACCTGTTAGAATAATCAACAATAAAGGCTGTGTTTTAGCTCTTTGTAATTTATTTATTTATTTTACATTTTGTCTTGTCTCAGTTAGACCTGTCATAATAAGTGGTCTTCAAATGATATTATCATTTATTGCAATAATTTCTGAGACAATATATTGTCCAGAAAAATGTGTTTTTTCCTATCTCGGTTAACTTTTATAAGTATAGAGAAATGCATTCAGTCCAATCAGGTTATTCTAATTCTGTGGTCTTTTTTTATTGTTGCAAAGAAGGTGTTTTGGGCTTTCAGTTTGAAAATGTTTATTAGAGTTTTTCTGTCATTATTTAATTCTGTCTTGTTGTCGTTTTCAGGTTGGACAGACTAAAAGTAGAACAGTGTGGGCCACAAGAAGTTAGTCATGTTGTCAACCACAAGCTGCCTCTCACACAGCCTGAAATCCAGAACAATGAACGCAACCTTGAGGTTGATCGTGAACGCAGTGCAGCAGTAACCTCCACCAAAGAAGAAGAAGAAGACAGAAAGCAACGTGACGCTGAGCGCTATGGCTTCCAGAAGGACGGCGCAGAGCGTGGACGTCCCCTCACCAAGATCAACAGCCTGAAACTGCAGTCGACTCAGGCAGCAGCCATTAAGGCTAACGTGACTTCGCCGCAGCCTCCAGCTGAGACTGAGAGCATGCACCAAAAGCCCCAGATGAATGGATCAGGAGAGCAGCTCCCTGCTAATGGGAATGGGCTCCCCGTTCTGCAAAGTCCCAACCAGGAGCCGGACCGCAGCCTGAGTAGGACGAGCTCTATGCAGCAGCTGGAACAGTGGGTTCGCATACAGAGAGTCCGCAACCAGGATGATGATACCAGGAGGTAGGTTTAATCTTTTCCTCTTTCTTCTTTCTGCTTCCTGTCATTTCATTTATTACTTGTCATTTTTTTAATTGTAGATGTTTGCTTTTAAATTAATTGATAAATTAAAAATATAACAATGTTTAAAATAATATTATTGTTATATAATGTGTAAATATTTTTAAATAGATTGGCTGCAGAAGGTCTTACACAAGTTGTTTTACAAGAAACAAGTTTTACTTTCAGCAATAGGAACAGGAAACAAACAATTATTGAGTTGAAATAGGAAGTTCTCCCTCAAAACCTTTTTATGTTGAGATTGGGATTTTGTGTTATTGTAAATCTGTTCTTTCTAATGCTGTGTTATTTAAAGAATAGTACATTTGTTACTAATGTAAGCATCACAATGTAAACATTTGACATTTCTCACTTCAGTGTCTCAGCAATTAGGAGCAGGAAAAACAATGACTGTCAGACTAACTGCCTGCTGCTGGAGCAGCTGTAAGGACTCTGTTTTTAATTGGTTGGGATTAAACTTTCACTCTTTCCTTTTGTTAAACAGACACGCTCATCATGTCTGCCTCTAAAATAGTTTTTGTCCTCCTGTTTATCATCATCAAGCTCCTGCTCTGAGCCTCTTTACCCCCTCTCATTCTGAGATTAGGGTTTATTTTAGGAAGTGATTGTGCACACCATATTTAAATACGGAATACATTTTAAAGGAAGATATCTTAAAATAACAAAAAGATCCATGTTGGATATATTTTTTTAGACTTAGACAGAATGAGTTTGTCTCTAAACTTGCAGAAAGAGAAAACTGGGTTCATGTCAACATGTGAAAACTCTGGACAATCTGACTTCATTTTTATTGATGCAGAAGTGACCACATATTTATTTTGTATTCTGTTGTGCTGATTTTTCTTTTCCAAAATAAAAAACAGTCACAAAAGCTCTTGGGGTGTATATTTACATTGCGTTTCAGTTTGTCCGTGTTTTATTTTAAACACTGTTTGTCTCTTCCCCACTGATGGTGGTTGCTATGCAGTTACATGCCTTTTTAATGCTGTTGGTTTGGGTTTTACAGACCAGTGAGCTTTCTAGCCCCAATCTGTCAGGAAGTCCTAATATGAAGTCCTTGTGAAGCCACTGCACTGACTTTGAACCCACTGAGAAAGTTTGGCTTTTTAAAGCCTTGCTTTATCAGGGAAAGTCTGATTTGTCTGAGTAGAGCCTTGCTTTGCTCAATTCCCTCAAGACCCACATATAAACACTTAAAATAGTAAATCCTCACAAACACATATTTCTTCCTACAGCTGATCATAGACTTGATCTAAAGTGTGCGCCAACACATTTAAAGACAAATTGAATAAATTAAATTAATTTAACACCCCACTTTCTCTGTGCATCTAAGTGACATAACAAGTCTTAAGTATTTTATTCTCTTTAATTAAGTAATAACCACTGTGTTTTTCTTCCATAGCATCACATCATACCAGACACTGCCTAGAAATCTGCCAAGCCATCGGTTACCTTACATGTCTCATTATGGAGATGGCTACCGCACCATGCCCAGAAATAGCATGGCCCAGCGGGACAGCATTTGCAGCATGTCGCCGTCTCTGTACGACCAAGCCCTGGGCCCGGCGGCGGCCGAGAAGCGCCGCTCCATGAGAGACGACACCATGTGGCAGCTATACGAGTGGCAGCAAAGACAGGCCTTCGGCAGGCAGCCGGGGCTCTATAGCAACATGGCCAGTCCCAAAACCATGATCAACTTATCGGAGCACGCGGCACCGAGCCACTCCATCCCTCCTTCGCCTTCCCACGGGTCCTTGTCCATGTACGGTGGCTACTCGCCGATGAGGTCTTACAACATGGCCAACGCTCCTTCCGAGTTTTCCTCCCCCATCTACAGACGCGAGTCGAGCCTGGACAGACGGCACCGGCCACAAATCAACAAGGTTTTCAACACGTTTATCTTCAGTCTCCATGCAGATAGTGTGGCTCTTGGTTTTTGTATTTTTAAAATGTCTACCTCTGTTTTTGTTCAGTGGAAGTGAATTGAACTTTGTAGTTCTTGTAAACAAGCAGTTTGTCTGTTTTACCTCAGGGGTATGTTACAGAAGAAATGGATATTTTAAAATTTGTTGATGAAGTTACAGCTGATTATCTAAGGGTAAAAGCTTTGAGACATTTTAAATTGTTGCAACCTAATTGTTTTAAATGTTCACTTGCTGTCTAAGTGAGTAATTATTATTGCATGCACATTATGGTTATGAAAAATGGATGACTGAATACTACTAACAGGTGTGTTTGAATATTTTAATTTATTTTTTAATAAAATTGTGTTCTCCAGTACGCCTACCCACCTGATAGGAGATCCATGCCTGCAGGGATCCCAATCCAGACTATCACTGCCCACTCTCTGCAAGGCAAATCTGTAAGTCTTCATCTGAATTTTCCTCGTTTCTTTTTGTTGATCCACATATGTTTATATGACTGTGGTTCTCGGTTGAAACATTTCAAACTTGGGTTTAGGCAGACTTCTGTGACAAACAATGCTATTTTTATAATAGTGCTTACCCTCACTGTCTCACTTTTTCCTCTCCGACCAGAACATTTTCAAAGGTCTTTCAGAGGCAGATTTAGGCAGAACTTGGCTGTATGCTCCAAGTTAGAAGATTTAAAATCCGTTCACTTCAGAGCGCCTTAGACTCACTTCACATCAGTGGAGACTTAAAAACCCTGTCACTCACAACTCTCTAAGCCAGATTGGGAATTTATGTCAAAGCTGCACCCAGTGCTATTCTGTTTTGACAGGGCTGGTAAAGTCTCACCCCGATCCTGCAATAAATGCAAACTTTTCTGTTTTTAGCAAACCTAACGAGCTTTTATGCCTTCGACTGTGATGCACCTGGGATAATGTCATGTTCCTGAAGTGCATGAAAACCCAACGCCAGGATATGCTCACCTATTTTCATCCTTTCTGCCTTTTAATCTCTTATCCTGGTGTGCTCTTTCCTTTCCTTTCCCACCCCCTTGCGGCGTGTCCCTGTTTCAATGTGGCTGTGCGTCCCTCCTCCCCTCCCTTGCAGCCTGAAGAATTGACTTTGCTGTTGATAAAGCTGCGACGGCAGCAGGCAGAGCTAAACAGTATCCGGGAGCACACTGTAGCACAGCTTATGCAACTAAACATGGATGGCGACAACCCAAAGGTCAGGCCCCGCAGAGACATCTCTGCAGGCGTGTGTGCTACCTTGTGGTGTGTGTGCCATCTTTACCCATCTTCATTATTCATCTCCAGCCAGAGGTTTTGGTTGGTCTTCATACATTTACTGTCTTCAGGGATCAGCTACGCCGTGATCCACTTTGCTTTAAACATGCAAAAAAATGTTTGAAAGCCATAATATTTGCCAAATCACTTTTCTGCTTGCTTCACTTAGTTTGTCAGGTCATTACATTTGACATATTTGAGCAGGGCGAGTGATTGATTTACTTATTTTGTGCACCAAAAAGAGTCCAGACAGTTTGATTTAAGTGAAAGTTAAAGTCCTTGGAAAGCTTAAAGAGACTAAAACCAGTGACATACTAACTATTATTTAAGATTTTTACATTGTATAGGTTATCTAAAGCTTATTTAAAGAGTATTAATGTGGCTTTGTAGTCACTTTTACATAGATTTTAACCATCTTATAGATGGTTACACGGAGGCATCAAATAAATTCTATTATAGAGAATTTATTTGATGCCTCCGTGTATCCATGCAAAGATAATTACTGGATGTCGTTGACTTGCTGTTTCTTGTGATTTCTTTGCACTTGGTCAAAATTGCATGGCCCATTTTGTCATAGTGAAGCTGCACTCCCTCACATCCAGAAGTAGCATCATATTGTTACCCTTTAAAGTCTGTGTGACGCCTGACCTGCTTTCTTCACATTGAACTGTCCTGCTTCCTTTTCTTTACATGGTTATATTTGGAAACATGGCATGCTTGTGTGATATGTAAGTAACAAAGAGACACACAAGAGGAGCATCAGGTTAAGAAAAGGGGGGCTTTGATTTTTTTTTCCTTTATCTCACTTTTCTGCTGCCTTTTCTCTCCTCTCCTTTTCTGCTGACTGTAGAACGACATTCTCTCCCATCACCTCCAAAGGAACCTCATGTATTTGGACAATCAGGTGGGGTGATGCATGAGCGCATGCCCTCTCTTCGCTACCAATGAACTGAACTCATTTAATACTTGGTTGTAGTTGTGCGTGAATTTATTCCTTCCTTTTAAGCCGGTGTTGAAGAAAGGTACAGTTGCAAAAGGAGCTGCATATTATGGACAAATATGTTGTTTTGTTTTTATAAGTGTATGCATGTATATATGTGTAGTATATATGTTTGGTTTAGTTTAATGACTGCTTTTATATGTAAATTGTTCTTTTTAAAATTAAAACGCTTAGTTAATTTTATATTACAAGGCACAAAACACATAACCGTGTAACAGTTTTCACACTTACAGCTAAAGTTCTGAAATGTTTGAAAGATACTAGGCAGTTTTGTAACTGCCTAGTACATTTTTTTAGAAAATCAACAGATGAATTGATGTTCAAAGAGGCACCACGTTTTCCTGATGATTTCCTGTTGAGATGCAGCTTCATTAAAGAAAAAAAAAACTAACTAAATAAATATGTTTGACTCCATGAAGTAAAAATATAAATACCAAACTGATCATCAGCAATTCTCATCTGTTTTTTTTCTCATAAGTTATATTTATGTGCTGAAAATCTCTACTACTTGTACTTGTGTGAACAGCAGTTACAAAAAAAAGTGCAAACCAGCGGCTGCACGTTTTCTTTTAGTTTTTTTTTTTTGTTTTTTATGTGAACACACAAAAACAACTCATGACTGCCATTATATTTTGGCTTAGTATATTAGCTTAAAACATCATCCTTTATCTACCCAAACTAACCTCATAGGTATACTGAACCTTTCCTTATTACATGTTTTTTAACTGTTATTTCACCAGGAAAATCCCATTGAGATTAAGAATCTCTCTTGCAAGGGAATCCTGGCCGAGTCTGGCAGCAGTAAGAGGTTACAAAACATTCACAGCAAAAATAGAAACAGCACCATCATAGATAGGTTAATAAAATACTCCTCAGTTAAAACATTTACTAACAGATGATTATTTCCCAAAATCAGTAAGAACAGCCTTAAAAACATTTAGTGACAACTTTTGGATGACATTCACATTTGTATTTACTCTTTTATTTGAAGCGTGGGGTGATCGTTTAAAGACTCAAACATTCTGATTATGTGTTTGTAGCCAGTTCAAGACGGAAAGCTTGTATTTTGTTTAATTTGCATTATTCAACATTGCAGATCCTGTCATTTGACTATTGTGCATGCTGATATGCTGTGCAGCCCTAGTTTGCATTGTGTTTTGTCATGGGTCTATTTTATTTTTTGTTTTTGTTTTAATGAATAGCCTAAAGTCTACAGCAATTACAAAGTAACTGGCTCTCATTTTATTCTTTTGAAGCAGCACAGTGTACATGCTTTATCTCTGCCTTGTAGTTTACATAAAAAATGCTGTAGGAACTGAACTTTTATCTTCTGCTCTTGGGGGCGTTTATTAACCGCAGTCATACACACAGGAACACTTAAACAATTCTAGTAATTGGCATTTAATATCTAGTCTCAGATTTGTGTGAACACAGAAAAATAATTGCTTCTTCACTCGTGTTTATTGTTTATCACCACACGCACTGTACAAAGTAACTGTAGCGCTTGCTGTATTTGCCCCAATATATTAAATGGAAGTTTTTAAGGCGGAGCTTTTCACTAAGAAGAAATAAGCTTCTTTGCATTATAACATGTTCCTGATCCTGTTTGTAAGTATGACTTACTGCTTGATGGGGCTGTAGCCTCTCCTGTCCTGTGTGAAAGCACATGTTTATGTCTAAGTCTGGTCCTTTTTAAAGTGAGTGAAGTGAGGTGTGATCTTGCTGTGGCTGTTGTCTCAGAAATCCAGTGCACTGCTCTAAACTCTCTGACACTTGCTATATTGCTCCTCTCCGCAACTGAACTAGATGAAGGAAAATGACCCTTTAATCGCCATGACTCACAAATTGATTGAGAACTCTGCTCCAAGGCCTCAACTTTACCACCAAGTAAGGCCAGCCAAAGGCTTTGCTCCACGTCATCCTCACCAGTCGCTGTTGTTCTTTTTGGTCTGTTTTTGCAATGCTCCTCCTCCGATGTCCAAGTCTTCATCTTGAGGACGGTCTCCGTGTTATCGTTTGCTATGCCAGCACTTCCCCCATCCATTGCTTTTTGATTGTTCTCCTCGTATTAGAAGTCATGTTCATGTGGGCATGACTTTAAAAAGTATTTTGTTGTATGTATGTACTTTTCGCTGTTCCGTTGAACCCTTCCTTTATTTTGAGGTTTGTGTGCTCAGGTTGTATGTAGTTACTGATGAAGCTGAAACCTGTTGATAGAACTCTCTCTTAGGCATGGGGCTTTTTAAAAATGCCTGAGTCGTAGCTGCACATTTCTTACTTTGGCTGCAAAGCATGTAGGCCTTCCTCATCATTCTTTTTCTTTTTTTTTTTTTTTTTGTGTGCCTTAGACAGTGTTAGATTTCCATAACTCTGTGTGTGCAGAATGCCTTCACTTCGATTAGCTGACTCACCAGAACTTGGCAGGGAGGCTTTGATTATTATCTAAATTCTGTGTTAACAAACACGTCACGAGTTTCATGCTGAATACTTTTCCCCGAGTCAAAGGGATGGTTAAGATCTTTTGAGGTTGGGTTTTCTGAAAAGTTTATATCCTGCTTGTTGTTGGTAGCTCTTAAAAATATCTTAATCTGAAAAAATGAACTTAACCTGATTGACAAGCGAACATCCAGCCCACGACCAAAGTTAATTGATGTTGTCCTAAAACATATTTAATCTCAAAAACTTCATAATGGTTCATATAAATATTTGATCTACTTTTACAGCACTGTTAGCTTTGCTTTATATTGATATTTTATCAAAAATATTATTTTCCAGTCAGATGTGCCCAGACCAGCTCCAGAATGTGCTACATCTAGCTTCTGCAGGAACTTTTTATACTTGCAAATAACCACATAATTATTTTTAAATAACTGTGCAATGCAAAATTAATTGCAGTGTTAAGGCTGATAAAGTCCTTTGCATTAACCACTAGCCTTTTTCCACTTAGGTCTTGGCCCTGCTTGTAAGTACGATCAGAATTTAGCTTTATTTTCATAAACTGAGGCCATATAAATATCTACAACAGGTAGGATGTTGATTTGTCATAAGCTCCACTTCAAAAAAATACTTGAACTGTCCCTTTAAATCCAGGAGGAAATACTTTTTTGATATTTAAGTACAACAGAACAGTTTTTTTCATGTTTGGCTCTTAGCATGCTTGAGTTAAGTATTCATGTCAAACCCACTGCACTTCTCACTGTGGTGAGTGCAAGTCAGTCACAGTTCATACGTTTTAGTTGTTCAAGACCTGACATCCAGCTGTTGAACACAGTTGACCTTTAACATTTAAGGCCTCAGAGGCATACTGATGAAGAAGAAGTCTTATGCATTTTGGGGTCTATTTTAATCCTCTTTACCTTTCTGCACTGCTTCCTCCTCACCTCTTCTTGTTGCTTTGCTGATGAAGAGCATAAACAAGTTGGACTGTAGGTGATGATCGCTGTGACATCACTTTGCTGCCTGGGTGACCCCCTCACCC